TTAGAAAGACATCAGAATGGTCTTTTTGTGCCAGTTTTAGAGATTTGAGTCGCATGAATTCTGAGAGGCAGTAGGGCGAGGCTATGTCATAGAAAGCACAAGAATCCCATGAAGAACACTTTAGAAACAGAAAATAATATTTGCATATGCTCTAAAATGGGCAGCTGTGTTTTGCTTTATAGTTGCGGTATCTGCACTTTTTGGCACACATCCAACTTCAACAAAAATGAGTTGCTGTTTACAATATTCTTGATAGGGAAGAGGCAGAAGCAATTAGCCCCCCCCCCCCCAAATCAAGTTTAGGGCATTGGAACCTGCACTAAGAACTAAGTTCAACACAGGAAAAAGAAAGATGTACATCAATATTCAAGAAAAATAGTCAGCATCAATACCATGCCAGTCAATAATTTCAAAAAGCAAGTTCACTTTGAAGGAAATAAACCAGAACAAATTACTCTTACCTGGTAGAGGGAACCCAGGTGGTTGAATTGACATATTCATCGGCATTGGCTGTGGAGGTTGCGGTTGCGATGGTGCCACATTATTCTCTTGCTGTCCTCCTCCACTCTCTGAGCCAGTGTCCATCTGTGGCTGTACTTCCTCCTCTTCCTCTTCTCCTGTTTTCATGCCTAATTAACAAATATTTCCAACTCAGTTTTACTACATGTGTAAGCAGTTTTACCATTCACTTTACTTTCCAGGACTTTGTCTGGTGTCCATTTTACACTAGGCTGACTTGGGAGCCAATGTTATTTTTTAATAAGATGGTGGATTCAAATTCAAGACCTTCAGAATGACTGGCAAGTGCCTTGCTATGCCACCACAGCAACATATACAAATTAAATATGGACTTAACCAAAACAAACAGCCTAAGCTTTTCTTTGCTCCAACACACAGAGCTCACCTTCTGTCTGCACAAACATGTCTTATCAGAGAGCTTCTGAACTGTTTTAACTTTCCTTTATCCCCAGTGTAGCACAGACCCACAACCACTGACACCAAGTCATCCTATCCTTTGCTATCGCATTTAGCTGCCTACATATCTCTCCTCTAATTTTTACTTCCCCCAAATGTCCCCCTATTTTTTTAATGAGTTGTTTGAGAGCCTTTGTAACACTGGGGGAATTGTAGTGAGTTCATTTTCTCCCCATTAATTTATGCCCGACAGATGACGTCAGTAATAAATGTAAGGGGAATGTTTTGACTGACTGGGATAACACGAGATTTGTGTCTGAGTTTCATGGGAGACATCTGAAAGTCAGGTTTTATGTGAAACATGATTGTTCACGTGAACCACGAAGGTTGACTGGCAGGCTTCGTGTGAAATGTGAATTATCACGGGCCAGACACAATTTTCAACGGTGGGGAATTCGTGAGAATGAAGTTATACAGAATATTCGAGACGAACATGACAGAGATCAGAGGGCTATATAAAAGCGGAGAAAGGATTGAGAGGCAGTCTCGTTTAGGCCAAGGGAATGTGTACGTGAGAAGATGAAGTCCGGAAGAATGTTGGCGTCTGCATAGCGTGATTTCCCAATGCCTACCTGGCATGAAATAGCGGCTGACGGAAACGGTGGCCAGCTGTGAATGACTGTCGTCTGGTTGGATGGAATTACTGTGTTTCGCTAAGTTGTGGGATGAATTCTACGATGTTACAAAGGTATGACTGACTGTTTAGATCATTGAATAAGTAATCGATGAGTGATACTGTTGTGTATGAACATTTACTGACTGCAACATCAGCGAGTGAAAATAAACGGTACGTGTAACTTCTGAACGTCTGCCAGCGTCCATGTTTTCTCGTTCTTGTCGGTGAATGGAAGGATGCGGTGACTCATTCGAGCCAGCAATAAATAATAAAGAAGATCATCGTAGGAATCGAGAGCCGCATCTGGCAGCGGGGTCTCTTTTAAAAGGCTGCTGTGTCGCTTTATTTATATGTTTGAAGGTTTTGCTATTAGTGTTTCAGTAATGTAGATTTCTCTATTCTAAAATTGCAATTTAGAAAATGTATACACTTTATATTTGACAGTATTATAGTGATAATGACTAGAACTGAAACTATTAAGAAGACATTTATGAGCAATAAATATGATTCTTTATAAACCAAAGTATGAATGGTACAGAAGAAGTTTAAAAAAAAAGGTACACCACATATGAAGAAGTCAATTAATGTGTATAATCTGATATTCCAACATGAAAACAGAAGTAACATAAACCTTTTTTTTTTTTTGCCATTGATTTGTTTTGTTCTGGTTTACAGTTAGTCTGCAATATCTGCAGCTTTCGGCCCAACATATATGATTTCAGCAAACCCTTCCTTAACCATCTTTCATCACAAGCTAGTTCAGAGGCTGATCTGAATTACATACAAAGACAACAATGATCTGCCCACTTAAAGAATGCCTTGTGCTGTACCATACAAGGTATACACTAAAATAGAAGAGGGATGTAGAGCTCAAGGTGAACCAAGAACAACATCAGGAAACTCTGAAAGAGCATAATATATCTATGGTTCTTTCATCCCCTTATCTAAGACCTTAGGACCCATGATAAAAGTACATGATTTCTTAATAAACAGGGGAAATCCACAGGTCACGGGACAGTCTAATAATTTAAGGGGTGGTAGATAGGCTGCATGCAGTCGTAGGACCTAAACTGCAGGCAGTCGTGGGACGTAGGTGGGTTTGGGTTAGGGCCAGTTCTAGATGTTTTAAGGTCGTTAAAAGCATCAGAAAGCCGGGAAACCCAGTCTTACCGCTCTCTAAAATGTCCTGTGACATTATCTGGGGTAGGATATTACGAAAGAACCTGAAAGTAATATAAATGACAAAAGAAAACAAAGCAGTCACAATTAAGTCTGACTCACCTTTGAGCTTCTCTGGTAGGGACTCTTCATCTACCATCCCTCCAACCAGAAGAGGTGTAACATCATTTGGTAGCTGATCCCAAGGGATATATGTCACTCCTTGGTCCACATCCCACAAATCTTTAAATGCGGACTCCTTAATACCTGTGCCTGGAGCCCAAGCAACCTAAATTATGGAGTAGTTCAAAGAGCCTTGAATAATTTCATCAATATACATACAATGCAAATACACACCAACAAATTAGTTCAAACTTCTCAATAAAAATACATACTCTTATTTCTGGGTTGGAAGTAATTTTCAGTTGATTTGGTAGCTGTTTTTAAATGACCAACAAGTGTACCACTGACGAAGTCAATGTAAAGTGGTCACTGTGATCTGCTGCCAAATATCCTGCAGCTGTAATCAATCTGAGATTTTGGAATTTAAAAAAAATGCCTTCGTGATAGCTAAGCACTTTGTGATAAAAACCCCACGATTTTCCCTCACCTTCATAGCACTCCCATTGATTTTCACCCCCTTGAGACGCTCCAGAGCTTTGCTAGCATCCTTTCGCTTGGTAAGGCATACAAAAGCACATCCTCTTGGGGGAATCATCTGTTAAACAGAAATTACAATTGATAAAAGAATTATGATTGAATGTGTTTTGCTTAAGTTGAAAAAATGTCTGTTATGATGATCATCAGCTGCTTTGCCAGCCTCCACAGGATCTAATATCTGCCCACAGATCTTGGCAGGTGGTGATGACTGCATCACTGACTAAGTGTTGACTGGTTTATATATTTAGGCATAACACTATATGCCTAAAGCTGTGAAAAAGATCCTTTACTTTTTACTCAGATCTTGATCCATGCAATTACATTCTGGTGACACTCTATTATGTCCCCATCTAAGACCACCCATAATCATTTTAAACATGTGAATCCTCTATTCTAGATTGGTTATCCCATAGACTTTACTAAATCTTTCAGTACCAAGGAACTGATCAACCATTTATTAGCTTCTCTATGCATTGTAAATATTTCATAAGTTTCTGTGAATAATCCTGTTCCCCTTTGTCCCTATTTCCTGCCTAACCACTTCCTTCATGCTATACAATTCATGGTATTTTATTTCCATGAATCTATCTCAATGTTTCATGTATGTCCCACTTGCACACATCTCTAAATCACAGTAGACGACAACCACAAAATTATTTACCCATCTGTAATCCACCATCAAGAATATGCTTTGGGACTCTTTATCACTGTCCATGTGAATAATTACAGTATATTACATACAATCTGTTTCTTTCCCAGGCATCAACAAGTATAATTACAGAATACGATAACAGATCACAACCAGTGTCACTACCACATAAAACTAATTGGACTATACACCTTGTTTAAATGCAGTTATAATAATGATTACTGATCCAGCCAACTACCCTAAACACATGTGGGGGAGGGGGAAAGAGGAGTGCTTAAGGTAACTGCAGTGTAACCAGGTTCTGGCACAGCTGCTCCCAGCCATGACCCACTTTTAGTTAAATAACAATTGATGACACGTGCGCATGTAAAGAAGATGATAGTGACTTACATTAATAGTTCTGATTTTCCCGTAAGCCTCAATGTGTTCTCTGAGCTCGTTTTCTGTGGTGTACTTTGTCAGACGGCCAAACCACAGAGTAGTTGTGCAAACTGAAATCAAGATGTGTATTACTGAAACACTAACAACAAAAGAGTCTAATTTAGCGCCATCTTCTCAGCCTTATAAATGATACTACTCGTTGCCTAAATATTTCTATTATTTCTTAACTTCTCTGAAATTCATCCGATTTTATAAAGAAGTATCAAAGAGACAAAACAGTACATGAAACTACAAAATGAAGAGGGTTCTGCATAGAATATGATTTAATAAATTTATAGAAATGAAAGAAGGAATGAAAATAACACTGGCAAAAGATTTACTTACTACTGATATATTTGTCTTTGAGAGGTGGGAGTCCCTGTTTTCTTCTCTCTCTTTCTCTTTCCCTGTCCCTTTCTCTTCTTTCCCTTGACCTGAAATCAGCACATGAAATATTTACAACTCATTTAACAAATACTGTGCACATAATGTCTTCTTTATCTACGTTACCGTTAAAAGGGCAGTTGGAATGTTGTGTTAGCAAGGTTGCGATATCTGCACAGTTCAGCCCAATACATTCAAATTTGGCAAAGCCCTAATAAGTCACCATTTATTACTTGCTTATCAGGTGGGCGGTTAGAGTAAAAATCTTTAGATTGTGCATTTTTCCTGTGGCCACTTACAGCTGTGAGTTCTGGACTCTCACTCAATCACTGAGGAAAAAGATTGGAGCTTTTGAATTAAAATATTACGGGAAAAATTTGTAGCATACCATGGATAAAAAAAGAGGGAAAATATTGACATTCTACGCGAGTTAAACATCCAAGAGAACTGGCTCATAAACAGCACCCTGGCTCAAATGTTGAAGTATTTTGACCACACCAAATGTTATGGTGGCTTGGAAAAGATGGTGTTGGAGGGTACAGTTTGTGGAAGGTGAGGCAGGGGTCGACTACTGCGAAGATGGATACAGAACATTAAAGGTGCATTGGAAATGAAAGCCTACAGGGTTGGAGAGCTGGCTAGGGAAAGGGATACTTTCAGGCGTGCCGTGAAGAGAGCGACGTTCTGTAAAGGACTTGCTGATTGATGAACAGGTGGGCAGTGGGTCTGTTGTTAGACCGAATGTGAGGCCACAGAACCCAAAAAGGGAATGGTATTATGAACTGTACACCATACTGTTAGCTGCACACAAACATTAACTATTTTAAGTCAGAAGCAATTGTTTTTTTAACCTCTATCATTCCAAGAGATTGAGCTTAAAAGCAAACATGACTCAGACTTCACCCAGAGACGATCAACAAAGATACTATGAATCAGAAGTAGTTCCTTATGCTCCTCCATCAATCAGTGTTTGCAATGTGTCTATACCAATATGGGTCTCAAACAGGATGAAATCTTCACAAATACAATGTTTTGTAGAGTTGCTCTGGGCCAGATTTATCCTCTTCTCTCTGGACGGCAAAGTTTGGGCAATCCTACACACAAAATAATCCCTATCAAAGCAGTCAAGCCATTTTCCTCTGCCCTGGCATTCGTGGGGTTGTTCCACAGCTACGCCCTTCAGTTCACGGGTGCAATTTTCACGCAGACACCCAGAAGTCGTCGTAGGATCTATGGAGTTCGTGCATTGTGTGACGCTCTCAGCAGGCAGCTGGCCATTCTGCGGAGAAAAGACCCTGTGCAACAAAGTCGATCCTCTCAAGAAAAAAAAAAGCCACTGTAAGTAGTGTGAAGTGGCAAGAAATATATGGATACCAGGTTCAAAAACAAGTCAAGAGTTTTTTTTAGGCCAGTCAGACATGAGGCTTAAAATGGCAGATTCATATTTTAAAAAAGCCTGTTGGCTCTCGGTGGATGACATCAACACCGGGCAGGTACATTAGGTCTGTTTTACATGTTTCCCTTTCTCTATATTATATCCTACTCGGCAAAAACAAAATCTCTTTCTGTTTGGACAACAAAACTGATGATGTTAATTGGCCTGAACTGATGAATATAATCATTTTTCACTTCCTCCAGTCATCAAAGTGTCGGGAGGAGATGTAAGGATCTTCTGGGTACCTTTCTGTAAAGGTTATTCTTAATTTCTTTAAAGCTGTCCTTGATGACATCATTCCGTTTCTTCGTGGTCTTCCCCTTGCTCTGTGTTTATTACATTTCTTTGGTGTGATAGCTGGTAAAAAGCATTCTTGTGAGATGGTCAAACTTTCTCATCTGTTGTTCTTTAACAGATTCAGTGTAACTATGTTGACTTGAAAATATAGTGATTATCCTTTCCAACAGTGCGGAGACAGCACAGGTAAACTATACCACTTACAAACAGACATGCAACACTGACCTTCTATGGCGATCACGAGACCTTGACCGTCTCCTCCTGTCACGATCTCTATCCCTTGACCGGGACCTGGAACGCCTTGACCTTCTCCGCGGTGACCTGTTCACACACAGCAGAAAGTCTTAACACAACAAGACTAACCAGTCATGCTAACACAAGCTTCAGGAAAATCCTCTTTTCAATCCATGAGGCATATTGGGTAAATGTTACACCATCAAAACTGATAACGTCTATCATGACTGTGTGGAAAAATTATGTGATGCCATATCGTGTTACAGATATCTACTCCTCCTGTACAGACCTTCATGGCTAACCAGATCCAATGTCTTGGTAAGATCAACAAAAGCAACACACAGTGGGTGATATTTCCAGGGCATTTTTCTAGCAACTGTTCAATGTTTATGTTTATTCAACAGATCAACATCATGGCCCATAGGAGTAACCATAAGTGCTTCGTTCTACCTCTAACTTCAAGCCTGAGTCTACAGAATCTCAGCACAGCGCAAGAACTCCACTGCACCGGCAAAGATCCTGAAATACTTTGGGTAGATTTTTTACTCCAAATTTTGTTTGGGCAGCATTGATAGGCAGGCTACTTTTTTTCGATTTCCAACTGCCAAGGGATTCTTTATGTGCGCAACAATACACACGGTCGTCCAATCTTACTACCCAGAGACAAGAATAAATTACTAGAAGGCCATGTGAAAAAATCCCAGCCTTCACCAGGGCTTGAATCCGGGACCTCCAGCACTCGAGGCTGACACCTTACCTCTAAAAAATTTCTTGCAACTATTGTCATGAAAAGATCACAGAGCAAACCTGGTCTCCTAGGATCTGCAGACTTCAGAAAACAATTCTGCAACACCATAAATGATCAACCACCGAAGAACCAAGAGCTAAGATAATGTAATGGCAAAAACATGTGTTCAAACCCCTATTGACCCATTTTAAAATCTGACTGGAGCTCCCAGGTTGTCTCAGTCTAAACCAGGCACCAGAAGAGATTATGGAAAATCAGTTCACCCGGCACTGTATTGATTATCTCAACAATCGAATGCCAACTGATTTATACAGATACAAGGCTCGCACATACCCAGTACACCTCAAGGCGTTTAAATTTTATACTTTACACAGAAACAACCTGAAATCTGTTTCTAAACTTTACACAGAAACACATTTACCGTTTCTTTTATACAAAAACCACATTATCTGTTTCTATGCTTTACACCAAAAAATACATTTCTATACTTTACATAGAAACCCCCATCATCTGTTTCTATGCGTTACAAAAAATAAACATGTTAACTGTTTCTATACTTTACACGGAAACAACATGTCATCTTGATTCTATTATAGTGGAACAAATAAAACTGAATGCTGAATTAACTCATATTTTTACAGACCGATCGGCATACAGTGGGTGATGCGGTCAACATCTCACTGTCCGCCTGTATTAGAAAGAGCCCATTTTAGGTGGTCTTGACCAAGGAGCCAATATCAACTGACCAAGGAGCCAAGATCAACTGACCTAGGAGCCTTGATTAATAGCAAACAAATCTCAATCTCTGCAGATCTGAACATTATAAGTAATCAAAATACACTTTTTTTGATGGACCTGTTTAGCACTACACAAGGTCAGCAGGTTCCGAAACATTTTAAGTTTAGTTCAATTGCTGTTGTCAGTATAAGTGATTATTATACTGCTTATTATAATAAACCCTCCCTGGCACAACACTCAATCCCTGTCCTCACTGTCCAAGAACTTTTTGGGTACGCATCGGCCTCATCCGTCATCTTCGTATTCATACTTGATGAAAAAGAGTGGTCATCATCATCTTGATGGACAACACACACACATGATAATAACATCACCACCACCCAGTGTTGCCATTATATTCTACTTTGTAGTCTATCTATTCCTCAAATCCGCTCTATCCTATGCAATCCTCTTGATACCAGTACCTTCGGCCTTTCTCATCAATGCATGTTTCAAAGTTTTTCATGGATGAACTGATTTTCTTTTCAATTTCAGTGCCTGTTTGGTGATTTCCCTTGTTTCTTTATAACAACCCTATAGAAGATCCATTGCAGATTGCTCTCACAAGAATCATCAGAAAGATCTTGTTACTTGCTAAATCACTCATGCTCACAAGAATCACCAGAAAGATCTTGTTACCTGCTAAATCACTCATGCTCACAAGAATCTTTGTAATTCCAAAGCCCGATTCAATTCTAGATTAGGGTGATTCTGGAACTAACCGCCTGCGCTGACTTCAATAGGGTATCAAGAGCCGACCATTCAGAGAGGTGAAAATAAAATTGCCTAGTAAAACCATAACAGCTAACAAATTTTGGGGTTGGTTCTGTAACACCCTGTGAAGGATGCACAACTAATTAAGCACCATGCTGGTAACCTTCAAAGGGCCAATCTAAACCACTGTAAATATTATATCATGTCTGAGACATGCTGCTGTTAAGAAGTAAATTTTTCTTTCATTGTTCACATCTTGTAAAATGTAAGCAGTTTTCTACTTCTTGACTCACAATATTCTGAGATTAAGAGGAAAAAATCATAAAGGATCCTTATTACACCAGTAAGACCCTTATAACACCAGTAGGACCCTTATTACACCAGTAAGACCCTTAATACACCAGTAAGACCCTTATTACACCAGTGACACATCAGGCATAGTGTTAGACCTGTATTTGTATAGGACAGTCTGCACTAATAAGTACCAATTTTAAGCTGAGTGGACAGGGAAGACAAGGTATTTTTCTTTTTCAATCCACCTGTGGAGAGAGGTAAGCATCTAGCCCATGTGCTACCACTCATCCTTTTTTGACCAACAAGCAGGAAAAAATTAAGATGTATGAAAATTTCAACAACAAAAAGTGAGTTTCCTGTTACAAATGTGCCAATATATACTAACCTAGATTTATCCCTTGACTTATCTTTTGACCTGTCCCGCGACCTATCTTTTGACCGGTCCCGTGACCGATCTTTTGACCGGTCCCGGGACCTTTCCCTTGCTTCTATGTGTCTGCGACGGTCTGCCTTCTCCATACGTTCCTGGCTTTCACTGTTGTCTCTGTCATCCTGATCATTATCTGGCTGTCTGTTCTGCTCCTGGGTCATTGCCTGGGGAGGAGGCGGTGGAAGAGGAGGAAGCTGGCCCATCATAGAGTCCTAATAGAAATAGCGACAGAAATAAGATGTAATATCGTAACTTTATTAGATAATAGCATGTTTGGGTAAGGGAGAAAACTATACTCTTGACATACATAACTGAACACCCCTAGTGCAACAGAGAATCATTTCCTTGCAAATCTCTGGCATGCCCAGGTGCGGGGGTGTCTGCGGCTAAGTGATCAAGCCGTGTTTGCCTCCCACTCTGAAGGAATTAAGATCGGCATAGCAAAAAAAATGAGACGCACACCAGAAGACTTGTTAATCAACATAGAACATGTTCTATTAGCCATCGGACGTTGGGGTTCATACTGAGGAAAGGATCTGAGCACCTATGGACATGTCCGGAGTGCAATGATGATAACCCAACTATCTGAAGATTATGAGTTTGCTTCATGGTTGCACCGCTCAAATCGAGAGATTCTTTGGGGATCGTCACAGGAGCTTCAGAGTCTGTGCTTTTGTGTGACACTCAGCAGGCGGCTAGTCATTCTGCGGTGAGAGACGGAGTCATACAGGATAGAACATAGGGCAATGAAGTCGATCCCTGCGACTTTAAAATTTTTTTTAACCAGGTGTCCTCAACACTCTGATGCGGTCGAAATTCCAGGGTACCCATGTTGACTTCACATGAGAAGCTGGATATCATCAACCCAAGGTGGCAGGTTCAATCTTGATGTAGACACTCTTTCACTCAATTTTTATGTTGTCTGGTTGTCTACTTGTGGAGCCCCATGTTGGTCGAGAGAACAGTTATGAAGGTTGCAGTTTTTGAAAAACGAAGCAGATGCTTACCTACGCGATTGTGGATACGGGCAATGAAGATGCACTGGCTTTGAAAGCACAAAGGGCTGGAGAACTTTTATGACTGAAGAATGATGTGAAATATGCTACACAAAACCCACTGAAGCAGCAAAACAACAAATAGCAGTTAAGCTGTGAATAGGCACATAATATCTAGCATTAATTACTGGAAGAACAAATAAGGATAATTTTCTCTACGTCCTCAGTTAAAAGTATAACTTAAAAAAATATGTAATTATATTGACATATTAAATAGTCAGGGTGGAGGGCAAAAGGCAAAACAAATATACAAGGAAAAAAAAAGAGAATAACTGAAAAATGTGAGGAAGACATAGATAAGCTGCACGTAATGGCAGAGGATAGGACAATATAGAGCAAGTCGGTTGAGTGCTTATGCTCCATTGGTGATAAAAGGCACCCAAAAATTACAAGCTGTTTAATAAGTGACTGTTAAAAGAAAATAATGATCATCATAAGACAATAAAATATCATGGACTTTCTGTCACACAAGAGCTTTAAAATCCAACACAGCTTTATTTAAAATGTTTGAGTTACTACCCTTGACATAACCTGTCCATACATTTATGGATACTTCTTTGAGAAATCTCAACTTACAGATAAGTGAATCTCTGTATTCTTGTTTGTAACTGAATCATTACCTGTCTGTGCCATATGCTGATGTAGGCTTTCTAGCCATAACGTTTATTTTATTATCCGTGCTTGTGATCGTGCGAAACTAACTAGCTCTATTCTCATCATGGTAACACAATAAACATGCAGGGTCGATCCCTACCTGCTCCAGCTCCATGTCAAATTGTTGCTGCTGCTGTTCCAGCAGCCGCCTGCGTAACTGATCTTGGGCCCCAATCTCTGACTGCAGCAGCTCTTGCTGCTTGGCTATCTGCTGGATGTGCTGAAAGACGTTCTGATCAAGCATCAAGGGTGGTAGCCTGTTGAGATATAAAGGTGCAACATTTGTTATCAAATAGAATCCATGAGCTTCACGGTGTGAGAAAAACAGCTTGATAATATCCCTGTGGAATACAAAAACAAAACTATACATATGTATATCTTCAAAACTTTATACTATACTAAGCTCAAAATATTTTAAACCTTAACAAAATGATTTAAATTTTTGCTCTATCAGAACAGCTATGAAACCTCACTTTTTTAGCTAATCTACCTCATTTATAATAAAGTTATCTTCATTTGACTTAAAGTTTTAAGTATGCTACATACGCCTGCTCTATTGGTGAAGGCTGCCTCTGGTGCTGCTGCTGCTGTTGTTGCTGCTGCGGCGGTTGATGATGATGCTGGTGGTGGTCCTGCCTGTCCTCCTCATCATCACTGTCTCCATAATCAAATTCTAGCAACTTCTACAATCAAGATGAACATAAGTGAAAATATGTACACTCAAAATATGCAGAAAACTGACTAACAACAAATAAGCTAGTGTCTAAACAACATTTTGGATATATAGAAAAATAATTTGATAAAAGTGTTTCTAAAGAGATCCGATGAAAGAAAGAAGTAAAGAGACAAGTGACATTTTGGACAAATAAGTAAGTATTTATGCAACCTTTTAAGCATTTCATGAGTTGGTACCTTTCGCTAAATACAAATGGAGCAAAGAATTAACTTATTTTCTTCCCTGTAAACCATCTAAAACTGGTTTTTGCCACTTAAAAATATAATCATACATATCATGCAGTTTACCACTGCCCAAAGACATCAGGCCAATAACAAAACAAAAAAAGAATTTAGCATTCGTGGGGCAGCCACAACCAAGTTAACCCTTTCGCTGCTATGGACGAGATAACTTGTCTGCCCGGCAGACTGCTAAAGACGAGATAACTCGGCTGCCATTTTCTGTGCCCTCACTGCTAAGGACGAGATATCTCGTCCTCTACATTTTTTTTACAGATTGCTAAGAACAGTAATTCTTAGGGGTGAAATAGCAATACACATTACCTTAATCTGTTCAAACTGACCCGTTTACATACAATTAAAACCATTATCAAGTGAGTTTAGGCGTATTTAGATGCATTTCACGTTATCCTGTTGCTTTGTTACCATAGAAGCATTGTCGGTGAACGGTAATTTTTTTGCCCTGAAATATAATTCCGGTTTTGCATTAGTCTAAATTTTTTTTTAAATACAAAATAACAAGAACATTTGTTTAAATAAAAAAGAATTAATGGAGTTTCTTTCAAGGAGTAGTAGCAAGGATCACTTTGAAACGTGTGAGTTATATGAGCTGGGTTATCTTCGCGGCACGCCGGCGGCCAAGTGTACTTCTGGCTGTGAACAAGACTGACCAGTGACCATATGACCTAGTTATCTACATCGACTGGATTTGAAACGGGTCCAAAATAATCAAAATAAAGATATGGTCACGTACTGACGTGATGATTAATATTAATTATATACTATACAACTGACATAAATGTGTTTGTCTATTAAAGTGTACAATACTGGTCTTTTTTTTCAGTTCATAGTTTCATGTGAATTTCTAATGTAGTTGGTATCACGTCTGACTTACAATCGCAAATTTTAAATTTAAGCTCTTAGCATTTTCAGCAACAGATCACCGAAGTAATAATTAATTAAACATCCTGTCACGTGCCTTCAGGTGGATTTAGATGCTTTACCCTGTTCCTTTGTGAAGCGTGGTTGGTGTTGCCAAATTTCACTTAATGTTAGTAAGAAAAATTCTACAGAAATATTGCAAGGAAAAGAGAAAAGTGTAGGAGGACAAAAAAGTGAAGACCTGCCACTTCGTTTAGTACAAAGGCACTTCCCTTCAATAATAGAGTCCGTAACATCGCAGAAAAAATTCCCAACAAGAAAGTGTGTGGTATGCGCAAAAATCAAAAAACGACGGAAAACCAGATACATGTGCAAGGCATTGTGTGTCGCACCTTGTTTTGAAATATTTCACACACAAAGATATTACTAATAATAATAAAAACCATGTATTTGCTTACTAAAGTTTGTAGTGTTTGCTTTGTAAGTTTGTAGTGTTTTCTTTTTGTAAATGAGATTTCATGGCATAGTAATAGCGCGTCTGACTTGTCAGCGCAAAGTTCAACCAGACACCTTCAACCATTTTTTATTTTAGGTGTACAATTTTTACCCCGTACCGCAAGCGCGTCTTCTGCTTTTGAAGGAAAAAAACGGTATTCGACAAAGGGGAAAGATTAGCTCTCGCCTGGCTTAGCACAGTGGTTACGCTGGCTGGCGAAGGGTGCTGCAGCGAAAGGGTTAAGGACTATTTTCACCACAGGTTGATGTGTCTCAAATGCAAAACTCTTAACCTACTAACAGTCTTTCTTTCTTTCATTCTTATGTGAATAGTTTAGCAGTAATAGTACTGTTTATTCCAAAACCAAATATAAACCTGATTACTGATACTGTCAAGCTAAAAATAGTTATCGTTAGGTTATCATTATCTCCTGTGTACACTCACAAAAGAGCGGCTGAGACTGTTTAATCATAATCCCAAAAGTATTAAATACCTTTACACAGGACATGATAAACAAAAAAGGGTCAGCTGAATACTTGTTCTGCACTCCCTCTTAATAAGGTGGTTGGAGGGTTGTGCTACGGTATAGAGCTAAGCAGCAATATGCACACAACATGCTAGCTGGGGGAGGGAGGTGTGGCAGTCACAAGATAAGCGAGATTTTAATGTCATCTGTCATGATCGAGGTAGGGATGGAGATGGTGGTTGGGGGGGGGGGGGGGAAATGTGGGACCGCTGTCAAAGTACTAAACATGTGATTGTCATGATGTGCTCACAAGCCACATAGGCCATGAGAACCCCCTAAAGTAAGGAAACGTGAGCTCCTGTTGTGAAGCAGCTGGGGACAGTCGTCGACCGGACGGTCTGAACAACTGTAGTGTGTGGCCAGTTGTGAAGCAGCTGGGGACAGCTGTCGACTGGAGGGTCTGGACAATTGTAGTGTGGCCATGCCTCATGAATAATGGTTTTAGTCACTGTGTTAGATAATATGTTGAATTGTTTAGAACGATGCAGAAATTAAAGAATAATAAAGGTAAAAGTAACAGAGCTGAACATTTTGTATCTACATCAGTCATTCTCATGTGTATTGTGACCACATTCTAATGCAGTTTGTTCGTGTTCTCTAAGTGTATCAACAATGAACTATGTGACAGCACTCATAACTCTTTGTACTTATCAAGCTCAGGGAGTCGGAGGTGAATATGAGAAGTACAAATGAGCTGGTCGGTCAGTGGAAGTTAAATGATCTCTATAAACATGTGCTCTGACCTAGCCACCAGCCTCTCGACCCCTGACACATCTTTTTTTTTTTAAATCTTCATAATAAATACCACACAAATAACCAAGTATTAAAGTGAGAAACAGAGGGGTTGACAAAGCAAGGACACCCAAAAGAAACCCTAAAATGAATGTTGATGGGAAGAGGTCCAAAGGTGCTGGGCTGCATTCCATCCATGACACTGAACAGTCTGCGCAGGGGAGAACAGAATGAAGGAACAGCCTCTGAGCTCTATTTATTATGTAAGGGCACAAAAGAAAAATGAAATAATCAAGTACCTTGTTAAAAATAGTCTCCACAGAGTTTGGGGGCGGTCTGTGAACGTCAAATACATCTTTTCTGCTGATATCGTGCCCATCTCTCCTGCTGATGTCTACAGTTTCTTTAACACTTGCAGTACTTCTCACATCATTTAATGTGCCAGGACCATCGCTGCCCGTCTTATGAAGCAGCTGGCTAGTCAACACCTGGATCTGAGCCAGCAGGCCGCTGTCAATAGGTGGGGCAGGCTGCTCCTGTGGTTTGGATATTTTCTCTGTCTGCATGGCCAACTGCTGCTGCAGACTCTGCAGATGTTGGAGCTGAGAGTCAGGGGCTGTGCTTGTAATCGTGCCCTGAGGAGAATGGCAGACGTACAGTGCAACTTTAGTACTACAGTAAAACCATGTTAACATGAACACATTCTGGTCCTAGCAGTGATATTACTGTCTTTAGTCCCTACTTAGCCCACAAACTATATTTTCAGTCCAAAAGGATTCGTGCAGCAAGGCTTTAATTATTGCATATATCACTAAAATACATGGTCTAAAAACGCTATGCATTTTATACAATGGTAACAGATCTCTAGGTGATTACATTAATTATAAATTTCTGGTCCCAAAATCAAGGTAGCCTTACATATAGGATCATCTCATAACTTAGGGAAATATGTTGTTTGCTTCTACAAGCATGGACATACTTTGCAGGCCAGAAACTAAGGTCTTAGCTCATTGGGAACCAATAAATAGAATTCAAACTAATGCACACGACTGCTGAGCATATAATCCATTGCACTCTCTCCCCCCCCCCCCAAACAGGACGGGTGTCAGTGTCGGACAAAACGTCTCATTCATTACTGCCTCTCTATCTTATGGGGACAAAATGTAAAAACTCATTCTGTCCTAAGTTTATTAACTGTTTATACATTCATGGTTTGTGATTTAGCCAAAGCTGTTTCCTAATTCCAACATTTGATCTGATTTAGCTTATAGTTATTTGACAAGTGACTATCATGCATGAAATCTTAAAACTGTTTAAGCCGCAAACCATTCACAGAACAACCATTGATTACAACATTAAATCAAATTATTGCGCAGTCTCTACAACAGGTTGGGGAGGAAGAGGGGGGGGGGAGAGGTGTCAATGTACTACTTCAGCAAAATTACATGATTAGGGCCCAATCTTTTCCACGGTGTGACACATACTACTATGAACAATGAAAATAAGAACAATGAACCCTATAGGACTGACATATAGTAACACACCAGGACAATGATGATGGCAAGTTGGAGATCATAAAATTGTTAAATACACTCACTAACCTTGAGGTCACAAAGCCACAATGACGTAAACACTGCCCAGCAGAATCACAACAAGAGCACTGTCTGAACAGTAAAGAACACTGGGCTCTTCTTGGTAAGGTCATGGATTATGCCACAAATAAAATTCTCCCCCCCCCCCACAAAAAGTGGCAAAAAATACAGACAGTAGATCAAAAACAGCTAACATTTGCTTGCGCTGGTCCATGTAACTAACACTAACTATCACCACCAACAGGATGTTACCTCTTGAGCTTGCTGTAGGAGTTTGGTTATTGTGCTCAACATCTCTGTCTGCTGCACAGTTGGGTTGGAGTTAGAGTCTGTACTATTGCCACTCGGTTGTGCCAGAGGGAGGGACACTTTCTGACTTGTGCTGATAATGTTATCTGCTGCTCTGTGGGCTGGAGATTATTTTAAAATTGTGAACACCAAGTTTACAATATGCATACTACAATCAAAACACACAGTTTAAAAAAAAAGTAAAGAAACCCCTTTATGCTAGCCATGATCATTACACGGGTCAGATTTTCAACAGCCATTTTCCTTTCAAAAATTGTTTTAATTCTAGTCACTTTGGTGACCAGGTTTATGTGCATTTCTTTTAATTATTGCAACAATCAATAAAAGTAAACTTCTGTTGAAGTTATATCTCTCTGAATAGTTCTTTTCTCCTATGTCCCTCACATTAATATTTTGAACATTAAATTTCAAGGCTACATATCAACAAGCAACAAGTACTTGGAATTTTCTAGGAAATATCTGGAAAAGAACACACTGTCTTTCAAATTTTTACACACTGGTGTTTGCATTACTGGAGTCAGTAAAGATATCAGGTGCACTTTGGGGCTTGGTCAAATTTAAGAAGTGTGGTGAAACAGGCCAGGGAGTGGTAAGCTCCTAAGCAGTGCACCACTTTAAGGCAATGACTAAACAGACAGCAGCAGTGGGGACAACGATAAGGACAGAGTGATGCCAGGAATTATATACTGGTTAGACACACCCCCCCCCCCCTCCCCTAAAAACATGAAGAAAAAAAATAAACTGAAATATATGAAGTGTGAACTGAAAATATAGCATAAACTGAAAATATGCAATTTTAGATGAAGTCTATGACAGCTCTGAACCACTTATTACAACTGAATGCTAATTATATATAGAATTAGCTAGACCAGTGTTTCAAGCCATGAACGCTACAATCCTACAGGAGGACTGGTGACAGTAACTGTATCAATAACTGTTGGGGGAGGGGGGTAAGGAGCCTCCCAGACCAGACTGCCCGTTGTAGATGTTAAACGTTAATCTGAGATGACTGGGCGACATCGATCAGATTTGAGGGGTGTTTGAAGGGCGAGTCCGAAGGAGGGGGAGCCACAAACGCCGTTACAACCAAACATATATAGACAAAAGTTAAGTAGAAGATAGGAGAATATTCTCTTCTTTGACTATCCCAGACAATCAGATCTAGTCTATGTATATGTGTGATTGTATATATATATACAGATGAAAAGGTCCCCAAATGCAGGAATTCCTGAAAAAAAATTCTTCAACAATAAAATTACACAGGTCATTGAGTGTGTGGAGTAAACAATTTACTGGATTTCAACAGGAAGTTTTCTTTAAAAATGTACTGGGTTACCCTCACTATAACCTTGTCTGCATTTTAACACTAAAATCATCACAATGGCTCTAAAACAGCCATTCTGTTAACAAGAAAACTACCTAAAGCTTTTTTTAAAATTGATATATTCATATCCTGAATCCATCCAAAAAAGCCACTGGTGCTAACTGGCTGTCTTGTAAAACATATCCCTAAAGAAATGCAGACTGTGGCATTGAGGGAAAAACTTAACCATAACAGAAGGCTTCCCAGGGCAAAAGGGCTACTAAAGGCATGACAAGAACGGGAACAAAACACTCACCAGCAGAAATTAGGTTTGGATTGTCAGGATCTGCAGCAAGATCCAGCAGGGGTTGAATAAGCTCCAACGGAAACACAGCATTCTTCTGCCACAAGTTTAGCACTCGAACTATGCGATTCTGGAACAGTCCATAAATCATTCAGATGGTGAGGAATCATATTATAAATGTCTGAATAAAAAACTGAAAACAATGTAGTAAAAACACTGCAGAATTAATATGTATTTGTGAAATTCACAATAATTGCTCGATTTACTTTCTCAGAACATAATGAGGTAAGCAGAAAGTGTCAGCGCTCATACGTTCCCATTTTATTACAATGACCTTTTTCTGGAGGTATGCAGACACCTCTGTTAGGCATTATTTTTTTCTGTATATATCAGTTTTGTCCTGAGTCATTCTGCCATGACCATCAGCGTTGAGTCTGGTCTCAAGCCAACAGTTCATGTAAGCCAGTGCCAGCTTCCCTGCTGTGGACCACAATACAAAGTCCCAAGGGCCCTTCTGATGATGAGCACAGAAGAAGTGCAGACTCCTGTCCCTGTACATTTGTACTTGTAATAATCTGGATTTTCAGCTTTAACAGTCACACAAACAAAACAGCCCTGTCAGCTTCATGTGGAGAATTGTGCTGTGATCGACATCAGAACCAAAATGTATCAACCATCACACTGATATTTAGACACTGAATTGGCAATTTTTGTGACGTTTTTTGGACACTGTTTTATGTGGATGTTTTTCTCCACATTCTTCTAAATTTTTAGGTTGCCACCTTTTTTTTTAATTATTATTATTCACATTTTGTTAGATTTGATGTGGGGTGTTGGTTCTGCCATATATTCGGGGGGGGGGGGGGGGGGGCACATGAAAAAGGGTTGCAGACCACTTCACTAGACCATGTATGTCAGTGCCCCCAAGTCATTATATCATGTACATAAGTGATGACTCATGATCGGGTCATCAAGCCAATCTGTCTCTTTTTAAAATATTGTTCAACCTGTCTTTTTGAATCAAAGTAAAAGAAACTAGAAAAGATCAGCTTTGCAAGAACTCAATCAATACTTATTAATCTGACAGTTACAAATACTTCAGCAGCAAAAGGATAATGTAGAACACACTAGGACACAGCTGCACACTCTGTGACATAGTTTTTTTTATTTTTACCGCTTTTCTGAGCCCTGCAGATGAGGTCATCATTCGGGTTAGCCTACATAAGATGCCAGTTGGATCCCATTTCGGTCAAGGATTTTGGGGGTGGGTAGACCCACTGCTCCCTAACAAGCATGTCACAGAGGCGAATAATTCGGAGTTTGCTGAATATTTAGTGTGTAGGGGAAGGGGGGTTCAGAAAGCCCACCCCCCAACAGCTTTGCTTAAACTACATGTTATCCGAAGAAGACACATAAAGAGATACTGGCAATATATGCAGTAAAATAAAATTAACTCTCTAATACTGAACAATGTTCTGAAGTCTGCAACTCACCCTCTCTTCTACTGGACATTTATACAGGTTTGTGAAGGTTGAAACAATATTCTTCGTAAAGCGAGGTGAGAAAACATCCTTTTCCGGGCCAAACTGGTGCCTGGATTGCCGAACAATGGAATCAATCACATAAAGGCCAGGGACTTTGTACTCTGGTTTGCACTGAAAATAACAAGTTACCATTATTCATTAACATGCTGGAGTGCGACTTTAGTAGATATGATTGATAATTACATACAGGAAAATCTACTACTAATAAATGAAAGGCACCTTATTTACTGTTGGATGCATTAGTCTTGACATGTTCCGAACCATCTGATCTGTTGTCTCTTGATGTAGTTTAGCACTGGTTCCATCCCACCTTGTTTCCTGATATATATATTTCTGACCCTGTTTGTTCTTGTTACATCTAGAATTTATATCTAGATTTCATTTGTGTTTTTTCAATATGTCAATAAGATCAAGTATTTAGGTAGCTTGATAACAGCACGGAAGATGTTTTACAGAGATTAAATGTCATGATGTGCCATTAAACATCATATGTGGCTCGCAGTCAACTTCTCCATTCCGTTCTATCCTTCACAAGCATTTAATATCATGGATGGAACCCAGCACAGCCTCTTTCATTAACGTTCATTTTAAGAGGTTCTTATATTATTGGTTGCCCAGACATCTCTCTTATTTTTTTCAAATCTCTTCAGTTAATCCCATTTTGTTTATATTTTTCAAATGAGTTAACTTCTTTCCATGTCTTAGGTCGTTCTCCAACTATCACTGACACATGTTAAATTTAAATAATATTTTAACCAAAAAAAAAAATGTAGAAACATCACCAACATCATCAATTTCTAAGTATTAAGCGTTGTGATGATGAGCAGTTTGCGATCCACTGCTTGGTGGATGCAAATATAGAATAACCAAGCAAAAATAACATTATACAGGGTGAAAACCATTCTTTGCCTAATGAGGCTAAAGATTGAGTCAGATCAAGTCAATCTTAAATTATGGAAGTGAATCATAGATAATCAGCAGTATAAAATGTGTGGAAGCTGCAGAGATATGGTTTTACAGAAAAATGATGAGAACACCCTGCACAGATAAAACATCACACAATGTATGAGATCCTGATGACTCAATCATCTCTTTGCTCTAGCTACAGAGTTCATGTATTCATGCTGAGATCTGATCCAGAAACATTTAAAAGGTACAAAAGGAGAAAAGTAAGGTAAAAAATGACACAACAGACACAATGTCACACATAAATACTAGTTTGAGTCAGAACGCCCTGGCAAGGGTCATCTCTAAATTCTACCCTGGAACTGTCGAAGCATTTGACAGAGTGGCCCAGTCTTGGACTAGGTTAGTGGATAATGACAGAACTATGGACATTAACATGGTTGCGTGAGATAGGAGTAAATCATGATGAAGCATGTTTAGGCCACTTTTGAGACAGAGACAGGAGACATTATAACCAGCTTCTCATGAAAACAATCAGTAGAGGTGTCTTGAAGTGGCTGCTGCATCAGAAGATTCAGCATACACAGGAATGCCCAAAGTGTAGAGGTATTGACTGCAATAACATATCATACTGCTGAAGAAAACACAACCTAACCATGTAGTTGTTAATGCCTACCTTCTGGATGAATTTTTCCACACTCTGGACGACATGCTTGTAAAACTTGATGGCCTTAATCGCACATTTCGTGATCTGAGCCATTTTGGCCCGAGACACGGGCGGCTTGCTTTCATACAGAGAAGACAGCTGAAAAGGAAAACATTAAAATGTGTGCAATGAAAAAGCAGAAGAAAAAAACATTAACAAAATGAAATGTTACTCATTAAGGGGTCACTAAACCAAAAAAAAAATTTTTTTTTAAATTTTTTATTTACAGTTAGAGCAATTATTTTATAATGGTCATTTGTAGGGATACATGTTATTACATTTGCATACTTGAAGTGTGAAAAAATCATGGTTGTCATGGTAATAGCCGCCATCTTGGGGAAAAATCTACATGTACTTATAATCCTAAAATTTCAAACACGTGTTAAACAATAGATAATAGATTCATAATCTTTAATCCCATTTAGAGGTACAGGTATAAGTCATTTACTTTAAGCATGTTTCTAAATATGTTTTGTTGAATTTTAAAATGTAGGTTTATTGAAAAAGTCAAAAAAATCTAACATCAAGACAATAATCAAATTTTTTGAAACAAAAACATTCTCAAATATATTTCTATATAAACCAGTCCCTATAATAGTGTTTGAGGAGTATTCATTTTAAATGTCATGTTTGTAATCTTCATATTAGCTGAGATTTAAGGATTTCACACACACAACAAACATAAATATAGAGAGGTGAGAAAACTGACTTTTAAACTCTCTAAAATCTCTAAAAAAAAGTGCATGGGTTAGTGTCTTTAGTATTAATTTTTCAATGCTAAATTGTTTACAAATGACATAAATTGTGTGTCTAATCTATTCTACAAATGCTGAACTTTACAAAAACGAATACATTGAAAAGGTGACATTTTTGTCATAAATTGAAAAAAATGCAGTGTAGTGACCCCTTAATGAGTTAAAGTTACAGGAGTTATCTGTTTTGCAAGGTCTTTAATTTACTTTACACTTTCAGTGGATTTCAGCTATTGTCAGCACCAATTTACCTGAGATCTTCTGCTTTCCACCTCTCAACAACAGAGCAGAAGCTCTCAGCCAGTTAATACCCTCCCAGTAAACCATCCCCCTGTCATTTCCTGCAGATCTCTTATGTCCTGCACCCTTCACCTAGTTATAGTTCTTGTCTCAATTAAATTTTAGATTTCTCAATTTCTTTTACCATGTAAATTCCAGAGAAAGAACTTTCTAGTTAACACTATTATTAGGTTTTTCCAATGTGTATCTGATATAAAGCCAGCAATTTCTCCTTACTTTGCTGGAATCTATTTAGCTCTCCCAGTAAGGTTTGCAGGCCCCAGTAATGAATGTGTGTAGTTTATTAGTAATAATAAGTATTATTATGTAGTTATTCTTCAGGTTTCTGCTCCAAAGACCAGTGCTAAATTAACAATCGAGTTGAAAAATCTAATTTCTGTAATATATATCCTTAAAATTACTTATGCCATGAAACCTCTATTTTACCTTTTTATTTTAATACCTCTGCTCTCCAATATTTGTTTACACCACTACTTGTATGTATGCATGATTCCATTCCTAAGGTGAGGTTTAAATATGGAAAATCCTTTGCTTGATTTATACTCAATATATGTCACTACCCCCCCCCCCCCACGAATTTCTAGGTTATATTTGTTAACGTTCAACAAACTGATCTTATGCACAACATGAGGGGGGGGGGGGGGGGCAATGACATGAGTGAGTTTTAGAGCCTCACTACCATTTGTAAGAGCCAATGAATTGAAATTGTTCAGCAATATAACTAGTTGATAAATGCTACATGATGAGTCTGTATGAAAAATAAAGGTCACATGGGTAAAGATTTGACATAGCATTCAGGACTAGGGTTATATAAACTCCATCTCCCTCCTTAACAGCCATAAAAGAGTCTCCATACTGAAGGTACCCGTTATCTAGATAACCACTCGCCTTTCCTCCATACCACTCGTCTCTAGTGGCACCGAAAGCCCACAGACAGTCCCCGCTGCATCACCTCTCCAGGCATAAGTTTTTAATATTCTCCATGTTTATCCATGTTAAAATGTGTATCCATTAGTCTCCCCCTTGTCATTTTTTGGGGTGAAATAACATGATTTATTCTCAAGATCTATAAATTTTTCAGATCAACACAGGAGTGACAGCAACCTGTGCTTTTCATCAAGCACGGTCCATGGCATTTTCAACATTTTGTTCCTACAAACCTACCCCAATAACATTTTCTTTATAATGATTACAAAGGTGGTGGCACAGTGTCTTTCAAATACTAGCTGGCAAATGAGGTTAGGGCTCCATTTTAAAAAAAGCATGTTGACACTGGTACAAGCAAATTTCCATGATTACAATAGACCTTCAGTACCCTTGTCTTCTAACCATGCGATGAGATCTCATTATTTACTGTTCACTCTCTGTGTGGGTTCTGGTGCTTTTTGAGGGGGGGGGGGGGGGGGGAGAGGTGGGGGCCACTGACCCACTGACAAGAATGTCGTAAAAGGTGAGACAATTTAGGGGATTTCCAAAGTCGAGTGCACCTGTCTGTGGGGCATACAAATAAGCCAGCATTAGTCTGTAGAATTAACATTTCAAGGATAAGAATCAAAAGAGTATAAATCTCAGAAACCATGTTCTACCGTACATAACCATACAATACAGCTATATGCATATTGGACATTGGGGCAAGACAAAAAGGTTACGAGATAACATGTAGTGAACTGCATTGTGGGTGGGTCTGCATTCAATTTAAAAAGGTGGTAGACACTGTCTACAGCTAGGTTGCGATATCTGTGCCTGCTTAACCAACAGCAACACATTAAATTTCAGCGAAACCCTTAGTTGTCTTTGACAAAATGCTTTTTAAGGGGGTCTACTCTGTTCTTGCCCCCCAAAAATGGGGGTTCATAAACCTAGCGTGGATCACACTATGATCTTGTGTATTTCTTCTTCATGTTCACCGGCTGTAATTGAGTCGTCAGTGTAAACTCCGGCAGAAACTTCTGGACTGAAGTCTTGCTCTAGAAGGCCCTTTGTGTGTTACCCCATGGAAGCATGGAATTCTAATATTTTCTTGAGCTCGACCATGAATTTTAATAAAATTGTTGGACTTAGAGTGTCGCCGGCGTCATCAAGAAATTTCATTTTCATTTCAAACAGTCAAGTTCTATCTATACAACATCAGGAAAAATACATAATACATATCTCAGCTTTCTTCGACTGATAATTTAAAACAGTATTAATATGCTAAGCTGGTTGTCAATTTTTAACATTTTATTTACCATTTTTATACGTTTTAATTAGCACATAATTTATTTGTTAAAAAAATAAGACAGACCACTGACCACAGCACACTACTTTAGTTTAAAAGAAACAAGCAACAAATAAATCAAGAAAATAAAAATAAACAAGGACATATTAACCAGCATTGTTTTTAACAATTTACTTTAATTTTATACATGGATGATGCTTCTACAAAATCACGCTTTAACGGACGCCAGAACAATCAGTTAACATGATGAACAGTGACAGTTTACCGAATTCATTTTTTTTTTACACACGACGGTCGACCGTTCGTATTTTGACAACAAAAATTTAGTAATTAGAACAATACTTTACCTCATTGTTGAAAACCCTGACAGCGTCCATTTTTAAAATATAGTCCTTAGAATACTATATAATGAAAGTATTTAAATCCGTGAGTAGATGAAGCAAACGCACAAATATTCCATACTGGGCGATCTACATGATCACCTGTGGTCGACGGAGAGTAATGGTTGTCGCATGTGAAAATGGCGTCCCTGATGTGACTTCAAACTAGCCACAACATTTTGTCAGTTACCATATAAAGTTTTACTGCACATGGTTATAATTGGCATTATTAATTTAAAAGGTTTTACAGTGGTATTGCTTTCAAAATTTTAAAACATTAACAGATTTGGCTGCATGGAAATAACAAAATCGAATTTTAAATATGAATATAAGCTTCATTGAAGCCGTGATAGTTGTGTTTATATAAGCGCAATCAAACCAACCACCCCTAGAAGTTAACGCCCATTTAGGATCTCATTGGAAACAGCTGCTTGCTTATGGGCCGTGTGTGTGTGCGTGAACACATCAAATACACTTTGAATTTCCATTTCGTTTATTTGTGTGAGGTTTTAGTTTAAATTCTTACAAAGACTTGCACTATTTGCAGAAATTTTGATGCTGCTAAAAAAAAAAAAAAAGACATGATTTGAAAAAACTGATATGGTTGTTTTGTTTTGTAAAGACTCAAGACCGTCTTCTACCACATGCAAGTGAAAATTGTGCACATAGTATTAGTACTCGTACTACTACTGCCAGTTGGTCTATATAATATAGGGTTATCCCTATATCCCCTATACGCTTAGAGGCATTCAAAATAGTCCTTTACTTTCTACTTACTACTCATCATCAGGTGCCTTACCGCCTGGCATTGGCGATCATGCCTCTCCACAATCTGCGATCCACAACAGAGTGTATCAGTTCATCTGTTCCCATGAGTGTATCAGTTCATCTGTTCCCATGAGTGTATCAGTTCATCTGTTGACACCCCTCCATACCTGACAAAAAGGCTGTCAAGAATCATTTCGTGCGGTCTTTCTCCCTGTCTCTTTGCAGTAATGACGACTTGTTCCATTTTTCCTCTTCTCATAACATGACCAAAAATGATGTCTGATTCTGATGTTTGTGATTATTTGTATTCGAGCACCTGCATCTTTCAAAACATATGGGTTACTCTTCTTAGCTGTCCAAGGAATTCTAAGGATTCTTAAGTAAAACCACATCTCCAGCCACTACTACTGGTAAAACTTTTACTAAAGCGAAAGATCTAGTGTGTAGTACACGCAGATAGATACATTCATAAGTTGCAGTCTCGCTAATTAATAATATCATTTTTAATTACAGTGCTTTTCATTATTGATCCATGCACTTTATTTTTTTTTTTTTTTAATGAAGGTTGGCAGCAGTGCACCCATATTGACTTTGGAAGTGTTATGTGGCGAGGTCCAAATCTTTTTATCATGATGCAACTTTCATAATACTGACCAATAACCATTACTTGTCAACATTACAATCCTCCTCGAAAATTGAACCCTGGTACTTGAGAATCATGGGAAGTAAAAGTAAAGGCCACTTTTCCACACCTTTAAGCATATTGGGAATATAGGGCTAGACCTATATATTTATAGACCAATCAGCACAGAGTGGGTGGTGGTCAGCATTACACAGGCTGCCTTTACTTCCCAAGACTGCACCTAGTACCCACTCAAGGCTGGGTCTACCTGGGAGTCAAAGTCATTTTTTTAAAGAGTCCAGCTCCGTCAGGATGCAAACCCACGACCTTCCGATCCGCAGGCGGGCGTCTAGCTGCCAACGTCACTGTGACTTCCACTTGAGAAATTATGAAATTGTTAAATATATTCACTAGATACAGGGCCTCTTCTTGTGTACTAGTATTTGTCTATTCATTCATTCATTCAATGTCCTTTTGTGCCATTATCAGTCACATGAGGCTCGCAGGCAATTTGTCCATTCCGTTCTACCCTGTGCAATCACTCCGATATCATAGATGGGGGTCTGACTGACTTTCTACCACACTAGGACATCACACAAGCGATAAACATCGGATGGCACAAAAGTGCCACCATGTGGATGAGGATCGCAGTGGAGAGGTCCCAGAAACCGGGTTCTGACAATTGGCCATATTTATGGCCTGCCTATATTGCGGCCCCTGGCAAAAGCCAGGGTGGGGCTTCAAATAACAAAAAATCAGGATGAAACTGGATAGGAAACGATAAGATAAGGGTCCTAAATCTGAGGATCTAAAGCTGCATGACTACTGCAATCTATAGACTGTGCAGGTTAGGACTTTATTTTTGCTTCTGACTGGGAAAATATTTTACCGACGATTCAAACCTGGGTCTCCTGAATGAGAGCCCAGCATTCTTAACCATTTGGCCAACTGCTCTGTTAAACCCTTTTGAAATCAGATGCCTTGAACCACAGACCTGGAAGTATTGCAGTGAAATGAATTTTGCTAGATTTGAGATGCTCCAATTTTTTAATTTAGTGATAGTTTCATGTCCTGAAAAGTTTAATATATCATTTGGTATAAATGATACAGCCATGTCGACAAAACAGTGGTGGAAGTCATGGTTCCTAGAAGAAGAGACAGGAACCAACCAGCATAGGATGTTAAGAATTCCTTGTGTGTGTAAAAAAAATAACCCTCTACCTCTTTCTTTTTCACCATTCTGAGTCCTTGATGTTCATTGTTGCAGATACCACCCAGCTCCTTCCATCTCTATGATTGGCTTTCTCTTTCCATTTGGTGACTCAAAATGTTTCTAGATCCACCTGTATATTATCTCTCAATCATCATCTTGATCTGCCTCATGGTCTACTCCCATTCAACTCTTTTGTGTATGCCATTTTTCTCTCTCTATAACATACTCTCTGCATGCTCTGACCATCCTAGTCTATAGCCCGCATGAAGCTAGTAATTAGTGGTCATTTAAACAGATTATTAATTTTGTTGATGCTTCTTAGGAAAATAAGAATACTTGTGGCCTAATTAAACATTGAAAGGACTCTTAAATCTTTTCAGTCTGCCCTTCTGCAAATGGCTTATGGTTTACTGGCTTATTTATTTGCAGTTGTTGTACATGCTGCTCAGGCAGATGCACTCCAACTTCAAAGGAAACCCCAGTTAGTTGGTGCTTGTTGGGGGGCAGTAGGTTTATTCTTGTTTTCCCCACAATGGGACCCCAGAACCAACTCGGGGCAAATGCATTTTATGTTTTTTTTTTCTTAATCTTTCAATAGAGCATAGTTTCTCACCCAACTTGCACCAACCACATTTTTTAAAAAAATGCTAGTGCCACATGGGGCATATGATGTTAACCCAATTTTTATAGGCCAATCAGCACTATAGGAGGATGTCTTCAACATTATGCAGGCTGCCTTTACTTCCCATGGCATTGCCTGGCACCCATTTTGGGCCGAGTGAACCTGGGAACCAAGGTCAGTTTAAAAACAAAATCTGACTCTATGTGGATTTAACCCAAGTCCTTCAGGTCAACATGCAGGTGTCTGACCACTGTGGTACTGCTACTTCCTCATTGCTGCCATATCTGAGTTTATTGAGTAGCCATATTTCTTTAATGTCCTAAATTAATCTTTAACTAAACTTTACACTCGCTATGGGCCCGAAGATTGTAGGTTCAAATCTGCATCCAGTCAGATTTTGTAATGTCTTTTGTCTCCCAGGTCGACCCTGTCTAAAATGGGTACCAGGGGAAGTCTGGGAAGTAAAGGCGTTCAATCAGGATGTTGATCACATCAGCCACAGAGTGCCGATTTGTCTTTGAAATTTAGCTCTAGCACTAGATGCCCAATATGCCTGAAGGTGTGGATATGGTCCTTGACCTTACATTTTTCTTGCTAATAATATAGGGGACCGTGTTAGTGCAGTCGATAGGAGACATTGCTTTAAAAACCAGCTGCGACTGGCTACAGCCCATGGCCGGTGTTCGGAACTGGGCGGTTCCTGAGGTTCACCCAGCCTCTAGGTAATGTGTACCAGAGTTAACACTCTGGGGTAAATGGAGGAGCGTCGCTGTAGCTACGTAGTTGCATGTGGACGGCGACACAGGTGGACAGTTTCTTATCAGCTGCCCGTACTAGTGGCAGAGCGCTTATGGTTTATAAACGTGTGCAATGACGCTTGCTCACATCTTCCAACTTTACCTTTACCTTTTTTGCCAATAATATTTGTTTTTTTTTCTCTTGTGTTTTTAGATCTTGAAGCTATCCAGCAAGGACTGAACCATTTAAATGGCGTTGATTCAGATAAACAGACGTTTGTTTACAAACAGCCTACTGGCATCTGTTTTATTACTTTCAGTTGGTTCCTTTGTGACCTTTACTTTCTTCACCTCTAATAAAACAAGTGTACCTAACAGCTTGTCCAAAAAGCTGCAGATCCCAGAAAATACAGACTCTGAATCCGCTCGTCACATTGCTCAAAAAATAAAATCTGTTCAAGAGAAAATAAAAATTAATGATCACAATCGCAGTACGGCTGTTTCACTGACAGATAGAGCACAGCTGTCAAAACAGATAACAGAAATTGATTCCGTACACCTTGGCCGAAGTAAAGACAGACATAATGTGATACTATCACAGCCAAATTACAATGTGCATATTTTTTATTACCCTTGGTACAAGAATGTGAACACTGATGGGAAATATGCTCATTGGAATCATAGACTCCTGCCACACTGGAGTGATAAACATTTCATGAACAGCGGGCAGCATGTTCCACCAGAGGACATTGGAGCAAACTATTACCCTAAACTCGGTGCTTACAGCTCAGCAGATCCTGCTGTAATTGATGCTCACATGCAGCAGATTAGAGCTGCAGGACCAGGTACAGTTGTCTTGCGTTATTGTCCATGTTTTATTATCAATGTCTGTAGCCATTTTTTCTGCTTTCCCACCTTGTTTTGCCACATGAAGGTTTGATCGCCCCTGCAACTTCAAGAGTCACATCATCATCATTGTCCAGTTGTGCTATGGTATGGCATGGCACATAGGGCTCACAGTCTATTCCTCCATTCCTTCTAGCCTGTGACATCAGTTCAATATCATGGCTAGAATCCAGTCCAGCACCTTTGGCCTCTAGCATCAACATTCATTTTAGGGTTTCTTTTGGGCATCCCTGTTTCCTCATTCCCTTTGTTTCCCATTTTAGTGTCTGTTTGTTGATTCTCTACTCGTTTTTTTTCTCAGATTGTGTCCCACACAGTGTTGCCTTATACGTGTTTTTTACCAGTAGTTGACATTTCGGTTATTTCTTCATCCCTCTTGAGTGAATCCCATTTTATATCAAATCTTGATGACAAAGCAGCAGTGCAAAACCTGAATACCCTGTTCAACTTTTAAAGGCGCCAAAATAACTACGCCAAATACTACCCTGTTGAACACTGCAGTCCTTTGTGCGTAATGGTATGTAGTGTTATTTTCCTTTAACAATTTCTCCTTCCAAAATTGCTATCTGTAGGAATAACACCTCATGGAATTGAATCAGTCAAGAGCAGATCCCAGAATACTGTCCGTCGTACAACACAGTTATTTTAGAACACCCTCCTGTTAAAAAAGTCACCTGCAGCTCCATGCGGCTGTGTAAAGGATATGCAGTAATTTGATTGACGTTTGTCCCCTCTGGGCTGCTACCTAATGGTATGCCATTACAACCCTGAGATTTAAAAATCTCAGTCTGGACAGCAGACCAACAGGACAAATCCTAGATACCGCATATGGTCAACAGAGAAGTTGCAATTGGGGCACCCTTGACAGCCACACCAGTCTGGTGTAACCTGCCATCCTGTGTGGATAAGGACCCTCAGTTATATAGTAGCTCTTTGTTGCTTTCCTTTAGTTTATTAGGTTATGTTATGTGCCATAGTTTAAACAAGCTTGCCTTTAGTTTATTATGTTTTTTTTTTTTTTGGTAGTTTAAACAAGCTTCCCTTTAGTTTATTATGTTATTCTTCATCCTACACAAAAGACACAGCATACACACATAGCACTTAGTCATATGCAGGAAACAAAATGCACAAATAACATTTAGCAGTACATAAGAGACCATTATCGAGTGAGTGACCTGCTGACAAAATATAAAACATCACTTACAAGTGATACTTATTCATTCACAAATGAAACCCAACTTCAAAGAGTACATCTCCCTGAGAGGCAAGGAACCGGCCACCTGCATACAAATAAGTCAGATCTGTAAAATAGGTGCGCACACAATATTCAAGTTCTGAAACAAGACTAAAGACCAGAAAAGGATGAACAGCCAAAACTTTTTGCCTGAGTTTTCAGCCAGTGAACATGAAGAAAAAGGAAAAGAAGACATATCAAGTGCTACCGTCAATAACTCTGTAGTCCCAGTTGATTTCAGAGTCGAAACCCTATTTGGCACAAAAATAACAGTAAAAAAGGCAGCAGTGGATGACTTTTGAAGATACAGCATGCACTGTGCTACATTTAAAACATTTGGCCAGATTTCTTTTGCAAACTTGAGCCAAATATAAAATTTAAAAACTCACCATGTGTTGCATTGATACATGTAGACATAAGCTGAGCAGACTTGGTGGGTTGTTTGGAACAGAAAGAGTTACAAATATGAATCTAACATCACAAGCCTAATGTGTGCCACTGGCATGAAAAGCGTCCTTTACTTTATCACTTAAAAAAAAAAACTTGAATTTTTTTCTTTTTTATAAATGTGCTGTCTATAAGATGTTTAATATTAACCACTGCTGGCCATCCAGGGGTTCTCTCTGTCTCTTGGTACCCACCTCATTTTGTCGGTAGTTCTGAGACGCCTGTTGATGACATCATGATGAAGTTGTTTGATGCAGCAGCAAAATATCAACTGAAGGTATGTTGTTGAATCTTGTTCTGTGAATATACTTGAATGGCATTATGGATGTAGTCAGTGCTAAATTTTGGCATCAGTTAACTGAGCTAGGGCTAAGGGCCTCACAGTCTGCATTAGCCTCAGGGGTGTGGGGGAGGGGTCATAAATGTAGTTTTTTTATTTAAATCAGGCCTTATGAGGATTATAGATTTTCTGTGATTTTTATAGACCCATTCTTTAGTATTTCTTTTTCAAAAAATTAAACGACAGTATATTTCTTACATGTGTATTGGAAAAAAAAGTTTAGTTGTGTATCCTTTACAGGACGTTGCAGAACCAACCTCATCAGCCCCCTGGCTGTTGTGTGGTTTTTCTAGGCAAATTTACGTCCAGTAGTTTGTCATTGCTTTCTGGGCAGTCGGCTTCTTGATGCCACTGTCGAAACCAACACAAGGCGCATGGCCCGCAGCTGGGATCGAACCCGGCACCCTGGCATTTTGAAGCGTTTGCATCAAAATTAGCCACAGAGCTGACATATATTTAAAAACACTTATATATTTTAAAGTTGTCTGAGATTCACTGGTGTTATTTAAAACTGTAGGGGCCTCAGGGCCCTATAAAGCTTAGGATCTCATCAAGTCTAAATCTGGCCCTGGATGTGGTCAGTGATGTTGGCTTGTTAAGCAGATCATAGCCTGGTATAGTGTGCCCTGTGTGGAGTTTGTTTGGCTGGTGATATTCATCTTTCTACCTGGGTGCTCCACTTCCTAGGATGTTCCTTCTTCTTCTTCATATTTTTCTTCTTCTCCTTCTTATGCTGCTCTGCCCCCATCTCCTCCTCCTCCTCCTCTTCCTGCTTCTTCAACCTTTCATCTCCCCAATGGAACTTAAACCCTCAGCCAATTCTTTCCAAGCTTCCCTGTCTGCAGTTATCTTCTGCAACCTCCACGTCTTTCCCATATTGTTTATGTCTGTCTAATTTTCTTCTCCTTATATTTTAGATCTCTCTGTATTTCCTTCACCCTGTGAAAATACTATTTTAATTACTCTGTATCAGAAGATCTCCTCATCATTTCCCTGTCTGGCACTGTCATCTTTTCCTAAGCTTTTGATTTGTTTAGTTCTCTTTATGAGCCTTATAATACTAGTGGTTCTATCATAACATTTATTCGTGACGACATGGAAAGGGATCCTTTACTTTTTTTATGTTTATAATCCATACAGCAGCATTGATTTGATATTTGTATATGTTTATAAATTCTTCTTTGTTTCTGTTCTCAACAGATTGCATTTCACTTTGAACCATTCAAAAACAGAAGTGGACAAACTTTGAGAGAAGTTGTAAAGTATGTTATTGAAACGTACGGGAATCACACAGCATTTTACAGATTACAGTCTAGTTCAAGACAACTTCCTGTATTTTATGTCTATGATTCATATCAGATTCAGCCACAATTGTGGGCTGAAGCACTTTATAAGGACGGTCAGTTTAGTATCAGAAACACAAAGTATGATGCCATTTTTCTTGGTTTGCTTGTTGAGTTTGAACATTTTAATCATTTGACAGACTCAGGATTTGATGGTTTTTATACATACTTTGCCAGCAATGGCTTTGTGTATGGATCGACATGGCACAACTGGCCAAGCATTGCATCTGAAGCCAAGAAGAGGAATTTAATCTTTGTTCCAAGTATCGGCCCAGGCTACTTGGATACTCGTGTTCGTCAGTGGAATGGGAAAAACACCAAACTGCGTTTGAATGGCAAATACTATGAAAATGCATTTAAGTCAGCTTTAGCTGTGAAACCAAAATTATTGTCTATTACATCTTTTAACGAATGGCATGAGGGGACCCAGGTGGAGGCAGCAGTTCCAAAAACAGTCAGTTCTTTCAAATATGAAGACTATCAGCCAAATGGCCCAGAGTTTTATTTAAACCTCACTAGGATGTTTGTAGAAGAGTTCCGTAAAAATATGGTATCACTTAGTGAGTCCTACTATCATTAATGATCTGTTAACCATTGAAAGGCATTCTTATATTAATTTTCTTTTAAATATTCCCTTGATATTGTTCTTCAACCCATTGTCACAAGCCTTCCTTCATTTGTTAAAGATTCCAGCCATACCCTTAATATTTTCCGATTGTTTAGGCTACTTCCAGGGAGAACTTGTCATCTTTTCCTGTTAGATGTATGCGCCCTTTAAACATCTCTCCCCCATATTGAAGGTCCGCAGTTAATCCAGTACTTTTTGGATAAGAAGATCAACCCTGATATCACAATACGGTTTTTGCACGCTTTGCTGAGCTAGTACTAACACTTACTTCTTTTAAGCTTACTGGTGAGTATTTTGACAAAATCAGTGGTGTCGCGAGGGGCAGTAGCTGTGTATGCCTCTTTATGAGTTTTCTTGAACACCAGACTTGGCAAACGTATAGTGGTAACTCTCCTCAGATGTACAGAAAGTACACTGATGATGGTTTGGAGAGATAAAATGACCAATATAAATGTTGTCAGTAACTTGAACCCTGAAATTTAATTCACTTCCCTGGTTTCTATAACTTCCGTGAATTTTTTTAATATTTAGGTTAGCTTTTTCTTTTGAACTACTAGTCTATTATAAACCTACTGATTCTCATAGTAATTTTTTTTTATGTACCTATCACCCATACTGCTGGTCAAATTCTATACCATACTGTCAAACCTCTTAGACTACACACGTGCTTCAGTGACTCTTACTTTTTGACAAGGCACACAAGTTTTTCCTTGCCATCTTTACTCTAAACATATTCTCCAGGAGGTTCTCTAAACAGTGTGTTCCTTCACTCATAGAGAAGCGTTTTGCACTAAATCAAAACCTTCATCTTAATATATCTAATTTGGTCAAAATCCCATCCTAAAAATGTGAGAGTTTATTATTTCTTTCATCATGTAATCGTTCCTCTGCTCAAATCCACACTTGTACGATCTTCAGTGAGAACCCTCGAGTGGTCTACAAGTGAGACTGTAACCTTAAAGACACACTCGTTAGAAGCAGGCTGCTGCCAGGACTCAAAGCACGTCTTTCCATCATCAGTTCTCGTTATGCCTAGTGGCACATGAGGCTTCAGAGAGGACTTTCCATACTTTCCTGTCCTGTGCAATCTTCAGTGCAGTTTTCCATGTCAAAGATGCCGCACTCAGGTCACTTTCTATCGTTCGTCTCCATGTTGTTTTTGGGCACGCCTGTTTTCTCTTTCCCTATGGTATCCATGTGAGAGCTGTTTTGGCAGGTATATCAGGATTCATTCTCATAACGTGGCCAAGCCATTTCCATCTTCTCTTGGTTATCATACTGTCTAGAGTTTCTTGTGACTTGAAGTAGTTAAGTGTTTGAGATTGTATCTGGTGAGAAAATTTTGATAATTCTACGTAATTACGCACCTCTTTCCGGTACTTCCAAATTCTTCTCATAATAGATGCAAAATATGCCCATTTGTGATCTAAAAGTTTTCTGTCCATTTCCCAAAAAGTTTTTCTTTCTTCTAAATTTCATAATAGAGAAGTATTTACTTGTGACATTATTTATGCCATGATCTGCAAAAATAAAATTACAAAATAGCATATACTGGGGAAACCGGTAGGAAGTTAACAGATCATTTCTGTGAACATCTTATAGATATTACCAATGCAACTGTTAACTCTTTCAGTCTTAAACAGTTGTTACTCTTAACTCTTTCTACCCCAAGGAGTTGAGCTTAAAACCAATGAATACTTTAGTTTAAGTCTTTGAACAGAGACTGTTTGGGACAGAAACCGTTAAACTGATAATTCAGACTCAAGAGCTTATTATAACATCTGTTTGTGGTAGAAGACAGCAAGTTCATCTTGTTATGTTTTGGAATGACCAAGAAATATATGGTGCGTTTGTGTACTGAAAGAACTAAACCAGTCAGTCTCCCTCCATTCCAATAGTTCTGACCACCAAGGCAAAATCAACATCTCAGTTACTGTCATCAAATCTCCTGCAGGGATAAATAGTCAGTATCTTCTTCTTCATCATTCTGAGCCCTTGAGGTTCACTGCTGCAGACATCACCTGCTTCCATTCATCTGTCTGGTTGGTCTTCCTTTTTCTGGTTGGTGACACCAAGTGTTTTGCAGGTCTGCCTGGACATAATCTCTCCATTGTCGGCTTGGTCTGCCTTGTGGTCTACGACCATTCAGCTCCCTTGTGTATTTAACTCTCTGTCATCTGAGATTCTCTCAATAAGCCCCAGCCATTTCAGTCTGTTTGCCCTGATGATGCCAGTGATCAGTGGTGACTGAAACAGATTATGAATTTTATTGTTGCTTCTCACTCTCCATTACCTACTGTCTGCATCTTTCAGGGATCCACAGAGTCATTGTAAAACTATGTTTTTTGAAAATGTGTAATGAGGCTTCATCTCTTTTTGTTATGCTCCAATTTCAGATCAAAATAACGCAATTGGTGTTATCAATTTATATATTTTGTCTTGGTGATGCAAGTTAGAGATTTTGACTTTAGCAGATGTTGAAGGGCATTGTATACTTTATTTCCAGATTGTATTCTAGATTTTATTGCTTCTCTCAGCATGTTGGAGCAGCTGGTTTGCACCCAATTACTTATATGTTTCCGTTCTTTTGACGCTCATATTACCGACTTGTATGTGTCTGGAGTTCATTTCCTTTCCATGTCTTGTTATTATCATGTGTTCTATTTTATCTTGATTGATAACTTTTCCCCATTTGTGAGCTGCTTCTTTTAAGAGAGTTAGTGTTTTTACCATTTCTAGTTCATTTTCTCCAATGATATTGGTTTCATATGCATAACCAATTATTCTTGTAGTTTCTCCCTTAGTACACTTTTCTTTCAATTTCCTTATAATTTTCACCAGGGCAAAGTTGAAAAGAAGTGGAGACAGAGCATCACCTTGCTTTAAATCAGATTTTATTTGAAAAAGGTCTGACTTTCTGCCTTTATATGTTACTTATATTATAAGTGTCTTCCATACTTAGTTTTGCCATGGTAATTAACTTCTTTGGTTTGGTATTGCGAAGTCCTTCATAGCATTCCAAAGGCTGTTTCTATGTAAACTATCATATGCCTTTTTACAATCTCTAAAAACATTATGTACACCTCTTCTATATTCCCAATTTTGCTCTGCTGTTTGTCTGTAAAATGAATATCTGGCTCTCCTTTAAATAACGGTCGCTAGCTGGAAGGCCACGGCAGCTTAGTCGGAGTTCACTCCCCTGGCTTCAGTGCAATTACGGAGTGGACAAGTCACGAATCAAAACGCAAAGTGACGTGGACATGGCTGCTAAAGCTAGACCACGCGCTGCAACTGACATTAGAGACCGCGTTCTTTCGACGCAAGACTCTCGTAGACCACGCGTTGCGACTCAAATTAGCGACCACGTTCTTCCAACGCAAGACTTAGTGACCGTAGATGTGAAACCTGTGGATCTGTATGTCGTAATGAGCGATAAGCTTGCGTGGTTTCTGTGATGTGTTACCCTAAACCTACCCGGAACCCTACCTCAAACCCTAACCCTACCCCTAACCCAACCCCTAACCCTACCCCTAACCCTACCCCAAACGCTAACCTTACCCCAAACCCTAACCCTACCCCAAACCCTAACCCTAAGCCTAACCCTAGGATGACAGGTAACTATCTCATTTGTTTCGTTCCCTCTTTTCCACTCCCTAATTGCACTGCAGCCAGGGGAGTGAACTCCGACTAAGCGGCCGTCGCCTTCCAGCTAGCGACCGTTATTTAATGGAGAGCTGATCTTGTCTGTAAAATGAATATCTGATCTATTGTTAATCTGTTCTGTCTGAAACCTGCTTGGTAATCACCCAGTATATCTTTGATGTATGGTTTTAGCATGTTTGTTAGCTTGTAGACATTGATATTCATCTATAATTTTTACATTTATACTTGTCTCCTTTCTTAAAAATTGGTATTAATAATATAACTTTCCACTCATGGGGTAATTACTTTGACTTCCAAACTAGTTTTATTAATTCAAAAATCGTTAAATATAATGCAAGACCACCTTTATAAGTTCAGCAGCAGTTCCATCAGCACCAGTTGTTGCTTTATTGTTTTAAGCCGTGTTATTACATAAATCACTTCTTAAAAATTAAGCTCTTCAATATTTGGTTGACATGTTAATATCTGTTCCTGTGGATAATTATTTAGTGGAGTTTCATAATTTAACAATTCAGCAAAGTATTCCTTTCTTCTATTTCACATTCCTCATTATTATTTAACTTGTTCCCATCATTAAACCATATATGCTGTGTTGATGCCGTCATTTTACAGCCTTTTTTTCTTTAAAAAATCCTTCTGGATTCAATGTCATGATGACTAGCTTCTAGATCTACGACAATGTTGTTCATGTATTCTCGCTTTTAATGCCTAACTACTTTTTTTTAGCTTCTTTACATTCTGTTCTATAGTTTTTTCATTTTGTGCAGCTAACATCATTTAACCACATCTGTCATGTTTTTTTGTATTGACTGCGTTTTTACATTTTTTAATCGAACCATTTGTTCTATCTGTTTATGGTGGATACACCAAGAAATTCTTCTGCAGTGGTTTGAATTCTATTCTATTCTAACGGAATTTGTAAAATTTCAGTTTTATGCTTTCATTCATTTGCAAATTTATTTGATATGGATGTTTCTTGTAATCTTTCTCTATTGTACTCTGAATGTGATCTTTGCAACTTGGTGTAGAACGATCTGTTTAACTTGATTTTTAATTTTGCACCAACCAAGTAGCGGTCACTATGGCACTCAGCACCTCTTCTAACTTGTATATTCGATGCATTTCTTTTATTTATTAAAATGTGATCTTTTTTATTAGGCCTATAAGGTATCTTGTCACATGATTGCCAGGTTTGTTTATTTATATCATTTCTTTGAAATCTAGTGCTGCTGTAGTCCTTTGGCTACTGCAGGGTTGATTAACCTCCATCCGTAATTGTTTGAATTTGT